AACACCGCGGCGTGTAGAATACCCGTAACGCACGCACCCAGCGCCGGTACACCGTGTGAGGTACGACATAACACAGTTTGTCGTTCAGCTCCACACAATCAAACTTATTATTACAGATGGCGTGTATAGCCATGGTGCCAAGAAGTGTTCGCCTATGTTGAAGGCTCAGCAGGTTGTACCTGTCTAGCAGTTGATTGTATGACTGGCGGATACGACAAATTTTATAGTTAACCTTATGCAAAAATCTTTGCTGTACCTTTTCTAGCATGTTCACATATTTCTGATATATAGGATTCCAAATAAGTGTGGCGTATTCTAGTTGCGGACGAACAATCGTTTTAAATAAGTATAGAAATGTAGAGGGTCGCTTAAAATCGCACGCTTTTCTGAATACAAAATTACTCATTCTAAGAGCTTTGTCTTTGATTGCATTAATGTGATGGTCTAGGTGCAATTCAGAGTCAAATAAAATGCCTAGGTCCTTTATGGTCTTAACGGACTTCAGGTATTTATCACATAACCGGTATTTGTAATCAAATATATGACGGTTTTTCGTTAAAGTGATTTGGTTACATTTGGAAATACTGAGTTGTAACTTATTCTCAAGACAGTACTTAGCGAATCTATCTAGATCTTGTTGTAATAAGTGAGCATCAGTGACATTTTTAATTGTTTTATAAATTTTTAGATCGTCGGCATACATTAAGAAATGTGAGTTCAAGAAGCAGTTCTTAATGTCGTTGACTTATAAAATAAATAACAGAGGCCCGAGAATGGAGCCCTGTGGAACTCCTGATGTTGTGCAGATGGTTTCAGATTTAAAACCATTTACTACGACCGTCTGAAGTCTACCCGAGATGTACGATGAGAACCATATTAATAAGTTTCCACGAATGCCATTGAAGGATATTTTTTTAAATAACAATTCATGATCAACATTATCGAAATACTTTTGAAAATCAGTATATATAGTATCAATTTGTAGTCGTCGATCAATATTCTCAAATAAGAAGTTAGTGAATATCATGAGATATTCACTAACTAAGAACGGCGCCTAACAAAACCGTGCTGTTAAGGTATTACAGTGCTATGAATAATAGGATAGATAATATTGTGAACCAAAGCTTCAAACATTTTCGATAGGATGGAAATCATTGAGATAGGTCGATAGTTTTCAACGTCTTGTCTGTCACCATTTTTGTGAACGGGGGTGATATTTGCATGTTTCCAGATGGACGGAAACGTGCCCTCCTTGAGGCATTTGTTATATAAAATATAAAGGGGGTATGCCAAGGCATCGGCAGTTGACCTGAAGAAGCAAGCAGGTAGACCATCAGGGCCTACCCCTTTTGTTGTGTCTAAGTTTTTCAAAGCCTGTTTTATTGAGGTTAGTTCGATGTGTATGTCAGCAATTATCTCAGAACTATCACTACAGAAAGTATCCGGTTGCAAATTAGTAGATATAAAAGTTGATGGTTCGAATACAGATTGAAAATAAGAAGAAAATAAGTCGCAGACTTGTGACGAATCTGCAGATTTTATATTTCTATAAAACACTGAACTAGGTATACTAGATTTATTTTTACAATTGGCAACATATGTCCAAAAATATTTAGTATTAACGGATATACTTTCCTCTACTCGTTTTATATAATTTAAGTAGCAGGAATTACATTCCGCCTTATATATATGTCGGCGAGAAGGCGCTTCGATCGTGCGAAACGCCATCTGTCACCCGCAGCTGTCATCTGTCAAGATCTATGGTGCTTTGCGAAACGTTAAGTTATGACATTGACGGCTGTCATCTCTTGGGAGTGGTCTATGCTTGTTCGAAGATGGCACTTCACGTTGTGCGGCCATATTGAGCGGACGCAGGCGCAGAACTCTCCGCGTTTCGTATCGCAATCTGTTTGCAGCACGTTATTATTAATGTATTTCGATTAGACAACTAATTAATTCAATTAAATAACTGATTTGTGATCTATCTACGATCTTATTTGGAAGGAATATCTCGAACACTAGTCAGATGGCAAATGTTGATCATCCTAACTTTCCGCCGGCCCCGCATGACTTTCCGACATATATATAACTTTTAATTAAGATATAAATGTATCTTAATTATCATCATTAGCCTTTTAATGTCCTCATTTCTATATATATTCTGGTATAGGCGTTCCAAATAATCGATTCGAATTGACGATGGAAAATGGGTTTTGTGTTTGTTAACAACTGTAAGTGCAGTCGGAATCATGTATCTCCCGAAGCACGAAGGAGCTCGATATAATATTTTGGTTATCCATCCTATGACCGATCCTAGCCAAATTTACATTGCCGCATCGCAGACCAAACTCTCTCTCCATCTTCACTTTATTCATTTTATTATAAATCTTTTTATTCACAAAAAAATTAGTTTTCTATGAAAAATGTCAAAACATGATTGTTGCCGACAGCCTAACTATATTTTTGATATATTATTACTGGCCTCTTTAAGGAGGCCAGTAATAATATATCAATTTTCTACTTATTTTTAATTTATATTTTTTGAATTTTTGACTTTGTCAATGTTTGGTTTGTCTTGTATCTTGTGCTTTTGTACATTATTCATAAATAAATCTTTTTCTTTGCTAAAATTATCTTATTAAATTATCTACAGTCCATTGTGCATGCTGTCGATTACAATGATATTAATATTAATATTCGATAAGCTAACAATCGCATTATTAGGTTCAATAAATATCAAAACAGGCCTGAATCAATTGGTAGATTTATCTTACAATTGACCTTACCTAAAAAACACCACTCTCTATGAGTTATTCTGCGATTTTGTCATAACTACCGGTATCTGATAAAATATGACAATGGAAATGTTGTACACAATAAAACGTTAACTTGTTACTTCTAATGAAAGCCTTTGTTGTATATAATTATTTAATTACAATTTCATTGGACCTAATATTTTTTAAACAAGTTAATACGCAATATATATTTTGAGTGGCAATACTGAATTTCGCTTTGCCATGTTTTGAGGTTGATAATTGAGGTTGGTAACCTGCTATCATCCTTTTGTGAGGATAGGCTTATATTTATAGTTTCTAATGAACAGAATCTCACTCGACCTGTTTAATTGACTGGTATTGAAATTATTGGGACAAAATTAAAGTTCACTTCTACTAACCCTCATAGGTTATAAGACTATAATAAATTAAGACAATACGACACATACTCTTATGTTTATTGATTGTATAAAAACTATATCCGGAAGTTGGCAAATGACTTGGACTCGAATTGCTAATGATTGGTTCACGGAAGGCAATTTATTAACATGGCTTACGGAAGGCGATATATATTAGTAACAAACAAAAATAATTTGTTTGAATACGAGACAATCAAAAAGGTATAATTGAAAATAAAAGAAAATTTAACTTAATTATTACTTTGAAGAAAAGGCAAAGAAATTTTAATTTTGTGATTCTGTATATTTAAAAAAGTTTATTTTGTTAAGTTTTATAAAAAATGGAATAAAATTATGATTGATGGAGCGTCAAACAATTTAATAAGTGAGTTTTGAAAGAAAGGTGAGATGTATGTTACCAGCTAGTTTCCAGTGGCCAGCTTATTTGACAGATTATGTGAGCTGAGATCACCGGACACCCGGAAATGTTATTTTTTTAATATATAAATCAATTTACATATAGCATTAGCTATTTACTAGTAGCTTCAACCGTGTGATACTGTAGTATACATATAAACATTCTTCTTAAATCACTGTTGGTGAAAACCACAATAAAAATCCTTGTGAAGTTCAAAAGTTTCAAAATAAGTTATTTATTTTAAAAAAAATGTATAACATGACCACCAACGTACATAGTATCATAATATTTGATAAATTTAGCATTCACAGGGCTATACTGGATAATGCTTTTATCTTTTCAGATGAGTTTTAATATACAAATACGATTTTGGATTCGCAGAACAGAAGGCGTTAGTTTTATTGATTATAACTTGTGTGGTAAAAATCACACGCACATATTTCATGAATATAATATTTTAATTTTGAAATCCATAAATCTCTGATTGTTATCGCTGCACGAGCGTGGACTGTTTATAACTGACTTCAAAATTGAAAAGGACGAGGCCATATCGCTCACTGAATAGTACAGTGGCACAACTCAAAAACCATTTTTCGAGAAGCACTCTCCGAAGTTATGAAAATTTAATATATTTATAATTATGAAAATCTTTTTTTTAGCATAAGTTTTTTATTTTCTCTTTAAATTATCTGTGGGATGCCACCATAATATTGTGGCGTTTTCTCGAAATAATGGTTTTTGAGTTGTGCCACTGTACTATTCAGTGAGCGATATGTTCGTCGGAAATTTTGAAATAATTTTACATAACAAAGAACACACGATAGAGAAACAAACAGCAAAGAAATATGGAATAATTGACAAAAGTCATAAAAAATAAATCACTTATCTTCATCCCAATAACGTCTGAATATATTTTTATAACTTAAACGGTGTATTATTTGGATTTTCCCAGACAACGCATAGGCAAAGCTTCAACACTTTTACTAAGTAGATAAATAAAAATAAAAAAAAACATCAAGTTATAATTATCTGTCACCTCTCTTTATAACTTATTAAATGGCTATTTTATATAACTTGAAGTGCTGTTGACTGTGCATTAATTAACAATATAAAGCATTATTTATCCTTCTTTAATTGATGCATTAACGTCAATTTTTAAAACGCCATTTTAAAAGACACATATAAAGCTGGCGATATCGCAATCGATTGTTTAGTGGTAAAAAGGGGTACCTTTCATTACAGCATTGTACAACGTCATTGCTTTAAAATTACTCGTGGCAACCGCACAATACTTACGTGGTAGTCATTAAACAGTGTTGCAGTCAACTTTAAGCAGTGTTCAAAGTAGTGCACCGCGTTAACGTTCCGCGACAACATCTTATGTCAGTGAATGAAAAGTGACAGTGAAAAATGTCTTCGCAAATTTGGCAGCCACCAGACATCACAGCTATCTGTGCTGAACAGAATGCGCCTTTAACTCAATGTTCACATACTGGATTCGTGTTTTTAGCTTTATTAACGCAGCTATTCGGAAGCTCTAAAGATTATAACATACTCGATAATCCATATCCTAAGCCTTTTTTGAGTGATTACCGTAGCCCTCCATTAGTAGAACGGACCATTTCGGAACCGGCACCAATAAAACACGTCGCAACAAATCCACATCTACTAGGGCCTCCTTTGAATTTCGAACCACACGTGGATCATAAAATTCATGCACATAGCTATGGACCAAAAGGAAGTCAAGGTTTCTCTGAATCATCATTCTTTTTGAAACCAGATTTGAAATTAGATTTCGAAAAGTTCCCACCTAGATTCGATGCAGCCGACTTTGAATCAAATTTTTTTGCTAACAAGCACGATTTCTTTGACGTAGAGCCGGCTGATTCAGAAAAGGTTACAGTAGTGGATAAAGCTGAAATTATAACTGAGAAAAGCAAGGCTTATAATAAAAATAAAAGGAAAAGAAAAAAGAGATACGCTCCTGAAGTGTACGACTTTATTGTAGTCGGTGCCGGATCAGCAGGATGTGTTATTGCTAATCGTCTTTCTGAAGTTAAAAAATGGAAGGTGAGTTGATTTTTATAAGAACAGAGTATACCAGAGTATTAAGTTTAATACTAATTGTTTGGTTTAAAAAATTAACGGATAATATTATAATAATCTTATAATAATAATAGTGTTTTAAAGTATTTTTATACACTTAACAGCTTTTTTCGTTACGTAGTTATAATTTTCAATTTCGCATTCATAAGAATACAGAATACTCGTATCTTAAATTGTAAGGAAATTAAAATTGTCCTAGATATTAATCAATAAGGCTAGTTTAATATTAAGAAATTTTTTATTCAACCCCAATAGTAGTTAGTCTCTTTAAATAGACAGTACAGTTAGTATGCGAATATTAGATTTCATTCAATTAGTTTATCAGTTCATTAAATTGGTGTAGTTTCCTACTTAAGTGCTTATAAGTGCAAACCAACGTTTTAAATTAATTTATAATTACTTAAGACTTGACAGAATTAACAGACACATTTTAAATATATAAAATTCTTGATTAAACAATAGCTGTGAAGTTTAAATATAGAGAACTAGAACGTACAATACGAAAAGGACACGGCTTTGAAAAATAATGTTTATATTATTTTTCGAAACCCGTGTAAGTAAAGACGTCTATTGTTATATTCATGCTTATATTTCACTGAATATTGTAATACAATTACATTTAAAAATAATTATTAATAAATACTTTTTTTATTTCGAATAAGTTAATTGATTTTAAAAGTATATAAAATCCGACAAAAAACTTACATTAAAATAGCACATTCTTATCGGAAAACAAAAAAAAACATTTGAAATAAATCACAAAAAACAATGCAAGGTCATTTACAGTTAAAACCTGTTGTATACGAAATCTAGTATTAATTTGTTCATATTATTTGCCGTGCCAAATTCATAAAGAACATTAACCCCTGAAGGTTGTGTTAAAATAGTGAAAGGTAATTGTTTCAGTTTAATATAAACTAACGAGTTCAATTGTAACCTTAGTAACAGACTTGTCGATTCGATCAAATAAGTAAAATAAGACAAATAAAAAAGGTGTCTTTTGATAAACTAACGTCGAGTTGTCATTGACCTTGTTATTAAAAGTCTGCGTATCAACCATTCATTCAACTATAAAAAAATCTTGATTCAAAACCCCAGCGCGAAATCGAATGATTTTATTTGGAAAAAAAATATTTAATATTTTTGCGATATTTAATTACCTAAAATCAAATATCAGTATAATTAGATAATTATTTATACAAAATAATTAATTGGAGTATCTGTTTGTAACATAACGGCTGGACCTATTTTAACGGGACTTTGACTGGCAGATAAGCGGCTTATGTAATAAGGAGTAACATACATACAACCTTAGTAGTCAGTATCAATGGATCAGATCAGATTTAATACTACAAAGAAGAAAAGCGTGTCGTCGTTTAGCCCTTTTTTTCTTTCGTGATTTTAGTAATAAAAGAAAACGATTAAGAAAACATTATTAAGAAACATATCTATTCTGCCATTTTTATCGAAAGTTTTGGAAGCCATTGTCCATAGTCAACTGTCTGCTCATATAGCCAGAATCATATCTTGAACCAGTACCAGTCCGGCTTTCGACGAGGGCGTAGCACCATTACAGCTCTACTAAAAGTAACCGAGGATATGCGTGATGGCATGGAGCTGTCGAGGTTAACGGTATTAGTTCTTATCGACTTCTCTAACGCTTTCAATTCTGTTGACTTCGACATTCTCCGTGCGTTACTTTCTCACTTGCAAATCTTATCTCCGGAACTAGACTGGTTCTCTTCCTATCTTTGGGGGCGTCAGCAGGAGGTTCGAACACGGGTTGGCGGATAGGACCGATTTAACTGCTGGCGTTCCACAAGGCGGTATTCTTTCTCCCCTTCTCTTCTCAATCTTCATCAATATGATCTCGTCTGTTCTTTAGCTCTCATCATCTGTACGCGGATAATCTAAAAATTTATGCTCAAGCTGAAATAAATGACTTGGATAACATCATAGTTTTAATTAATAAGGACTCACAAAAAAATCTTAGACTGGTCTGAAACTTTCGGAATTCGTGTCAATCCTAACAAGTGCCAGGCCATCATCGTTTAACAAAGTTGAATATGATTTCGGTCGTGCCCGTCATCTTTAACGACACTCTGATAAAGTTTTCCTCTCATGTTGTAGACTTAGGTATTTGTATCGACAGCATGTTGAACAGGCAGGTGCAGATTGAGTCTATTGGTCGCAAAGTCATCGGTACTCTTAGGTCTTTCTATCAGTTAAAAAATTTCCTTCCAATTTCCTCTAAAATCCTCTTAATTCAATCAATCGTTTTTCCCATTATAGATTATACTGATGTGTGTTACGCTGATATCACACAGGAACTTCTCAACAAATTGGATCGATTACTCAATAATTGTATACGTTTTATCTTCTGTGTTCTGAAATACGATCATGTCTCTTCTTTTAGGTAAAAATTAAAATGGCTAACTATTCCCCAGCGTCGTGATCTGAGGATGCTCTCTACTCTATATTCTATCATTAAAGATCCATGTGCGCCAGAATATTTGGAACGTAAGTTTCAGTTTCTAGGTGCTTCACACAACTGCAACCTTCGCTCAGACAGCAAAAAAACTCTCGCCACTCCTTTTCACCATACAGGATTCACTTCAAATTCATTCTCACTTCAGGCTATACGACTCCAGAGTCGTATGCACCCCATATTCCAGCTGCCCCTAATAAATTAACTTTCAAATGATTGTTACGTTAGAAACTTCTGAATTCTCCAACTGCTTTTAATTAATTTGATATTTTAATATTCATGTATGTATGTATTTAATTATTTATGATATGTAATATGTTTGTTATGAATATTCCATTATTTTGTTTTTTTTTTAAGTTGTATACTTATGTGTCTTTATTGACTCTTTAATTATTTTTTTGTAGCACCGCCTTATTAATGTAAATATTCCTTAACTTTCCGGTTGACTGGTAGAGAATGCCTACTGGCATTAAGTCCGCCATTTGCACGTTTTATTTGTGCAAAGAAGTTTAATTTAAAAAAAATTATTCGTTATATACAGAGTGATAAACAGCATATCAATATAATCTTGTAGGTATTTAATTTGAATATGAATCTTTTATTTAAATAAGAAAGAATAATCGTAAAAAGTGTAAAGTGTCGTTTTATCAATTTTTATATGGATGTGTAACAACACAGATCGTTTGACAGAATACTTTTAGTTTTCGTATGCTAGATCTAGAATCCCTAAGCAATATTTCCCATGCCTACTCTGTGTCACAATTTGGTATAGCATGTGTTTCATAATATCTTCGAAGTATGAGAACAAAAGATACTATTGACTAGATACTGTAAAAACCTAACAATAGAGCATAGAAAAAAACCGTACAATGGTATGAGAAAACCGCGACTCAGATGACCTTTTGCAAAGTAAGTTGTACTCATATTGATTAATATTGAAAATGAAAGTATTTTTTAACTATAACATTTGCTATGTCAGTTCCGGTACAAGGCCTTACATCGCACTGACAGACTGTTGTAAGAATAATTCTATGCAATAACAGTTAAATTTAATACAAAAACATATTTTTGATATAAAATCATCCAAACTGTTTTAAAATTGTTAATGTAAAGCTATTTGAAATACACGTCATTAAAGTTATTTGTTTAAAAAGAGCATTGAAAAACCATTAAAACTGATGGAAAACTGGTTATTTTTTTATACTTTTCACTCCAGTTCACATGATTTTCTTATTATATAACTGCAAAATTATAAGTCACGAGCTGTCATGCAATAGGTAATATAATTGAAGTTTATTTTTTGCAATATAAATACATAGATTTATACTTCAATCAAATAAAAAACAGTCGTCAATGCAAATAAAAATTTTGCACTACTTGTGTTTTAATAAGAGTTTAGAAAATATTTATTTGAACTATAGCTTTAGTAAAGATTAGTCATATGAGTATCTATTGAATTGCTTTGGAAGACAAAAAAATTTCAAAATACAAATTAAAATCAGATTGAATTGATTAAATTAGGTGTATTACTCGAATTAAAATTTGTTTCAGTCTTCAGGTACCTAATATCAGAAAAATATTTTTTTTTTTATAATTATATCCGATACTAACCCCATTTTCCGGGTCAGTAAAGGTTAATATTGCGTGAAAAACGTACCGAGACATTTTGCAATATGGACAATCCCTATATTTTGTAGTTTCCGTTATATTTTTATGGATGAATTTTAATCAGTTGTTTAGTTGTTTCCTATAAACATTAAATTTAAATGAGGTTTTAGTCGTACTAACACTCAAGAACGGGTTGACCTGTGGCTAATTTTGGTTTTGTAACAATAAAGAATTAATATAAAACAATATTGTATCTTGGGAAAAAATCTTATTTGATTGAACTATGTCTCGTTATTGTACAAAGTAATTCATAATTATGAGTGTGATACATAATAAAAAGTGATTTTTGTAAAAATGATGTGATTAATACAAAAAGTCATGCTACCTGTAAGTTAAGGGGAACGGGGGCTAGTTGTAACATGTTTATGTAAGAATTATTTCATATTTTATCCAAAGGCTGATTACTAGGAATTGACATTTTGTTATTATAAATGGCTGTGAGCCTAAAGTTCCTTTTTAGTTAAAAAAATAATATGTTATTGTTATTTTTTATTGTTTTTTTTCTATTAGATTAAGAATAAAATTAAAAAGTCTAAGATTGTTATAACATATCTAAGGTTTATAATGATAAATACGCTAAATTAATCAAATTTGATTACTGAAGTAGCTAAGATTATAAATGGCCTTATTCATAAAATTCATAAATAGTTTAAGTAAAGAAAGAACATGTTATTTGTTAGTTGGTTATATTATACTATTAGATTAAAAATAAAACTTAATAGTTTAAACCTGTGTGAGCATGTCTAAAATTTCCCGTGCCAAATAAATCATTATAAAATATAAAACTGGTTTTCAATTCCTAATCTTACAATTTAACCCTAGTTCGTTACAATTAGCCCCAATCATTGAGGTAAGTTGTAACACTCGCCAGTTTTTCTTCAAAGCCGTTTTTATAAAAAGTCATTAGAAGTTTAATTAAAATTTTATTCGAAATCGATAGTTGAATAGTGGTTAATAGGAATAGTGCTAGATTCACTAAATATCGTTTAAGTAAACTTTTATAGCCAAGGTACCACAAATTGTTACAACTAGCGCGAAGCGGGAGTGTTTCGCTATATCAAAATATTATTCTCTATCACCTGTAAAAATATAATTCTCTATCACCTCTATCAACTGTAATAGAAAAGGAATGATTGTTTTTATCTAGTTCTTCAAATCAAAAATAATTATTTGTTGAACACTTTCACCTTAAAACACTTCTATGTTGACTAACAAAACATAAGGTGACCTATATTTTTTTCTTGCAATTAATCGTTCAACTTCCAGTTGAAAAGGACGACGAATGAGGTTAATCTCCCAAGAGAATCGGACCGCGATGATTTCTCAATGTAGCCCTACTGTGACCCTGACATTTAGAAGAGTTACTGAACCATTTTTTTCAGCTATTGGCCGCTTGTAACTTATTTACGTCTTTTTATTCACGGTTCCTTATCTAAAAAGTACAAAAATATTATTTGTAATCTGACTCTGTGTTTGTATATGTAACAGGTTGTAATAGGTAGGCACTTGAATTTGTAACAGAATACGTTTTACCTTTTTGGAATTTAACAACCAATCAATTAATAAACTATGCTTTTATATCAATCGTATATTCTGCAATAAAGTATATTAACTAGTACAAAATAGGTACGGGTAAATCATATATTTAATAATTACCTTCTTTAGATGAGCCAAAGAGTAGCGTAACTGAGTATTAAAAATAATTTATTTTCATACGGTCAAATGATTTCCCTAATTTAAGTTTTCCGTTTTTACCTTTTGTCACCATTTGCAGTTTCAATTTTTTTGCTTAGTTATCGCATAAAACGCCGTGGTAAGGTGGTCAATCAGCAAACGACCCTGACTGCGAAAGGCTATTATCAGTGTCAGGGATCACTATACATTTTTATGATGTTTCGTCCCTGTATATGAAGAAATTTATATTCTCTATTTTTTGTGATTGAAGCGTTACTACGCGGAAGTCAATTACATGTTATTGATAAATTATATTGAGCCTCTTAAAAAATTAATAATACATTTTAAGACCTGCCGTCTTTCTTCTATTTAAAAATAAGAAAATATAGAATATAGAATTAGCTCGCGCACGATTCAAACTAACTAACCTCTGCCAGCTAACACTTTCCTCAATTTGAATAATATTATATCGTTATAATTATAATTATAAAATAGTATAAATAAAATTAAGAAAATATATAGCAAAAGCGTTTAAAAAAGAACAAACGACGCCCGCATAGTTTTCTCTTCTCTGTGATTGCCGTAATGGCGTTAAAGTAGGTTTAATATACAGGTGTATGCAACCTCTTTTCATGTTCATGTCGCCCGCGGCGACGACACAGAAAGAACAGACCCCAAGCACATTAAATATTTCTAAAGTAACGGTATCTCTTACGGAAATCAAAACAAATTCTGTTATATTTATTCCACTTTGATCAACCAAATTTTATTGTTGTTATAATCAATGTGTTATTCAAATACTTAATATATTTCAAATATTTTTAGAGATATATAGTACTATAAATATTATATAGTAAATATGATATCTTTGTTTCAATTTTAAACTACGACTTCATATGTATCATTCTTGTTACTAATTCAAAACGAATGTAACAAGATAATTAAATATGCAAAGACTGATTTTTAAACAAAAAATCAGATGTTTAAAAGACTGCATTTACTTGCAACATTTTAAATAATATTTCTTCACTAGTAATGAATTCAACATTTGAATAAGGATTTTGACTCGTTTAGGTAGGTAGAACTGAGGTAACTTAGGTATGTTGACGGCATTTTTTTATTATTTCAGTAGTTTCGGATCATTTAGATAGAAATGCAATGCAAAACAAATAATGAAATCTTTCCTCTTGTTTTGATATAGATATGAAAGTGGCCCATTTTATTATATATCACAATATATCTTTGATTGTATCGCTAAATGATTGATCTTTAAATATATAGACGATGCAACGACTAAGGAAAATGGAAGGAAACTGTTGTTTTCATTCAGCGTATCATTTACCATCACGGTGTATATAAAGGACTCGGCTCTTACTGAAACTTTAGAAATGGTTGTAACACAGATTTTTAAGTTCTGGATGGTGTTATAAAGAGCAAAGTTAATATGTCATTCATATATGGAGTGAATTTGAGTAGGTATATACCTGTATGAATATTAAAAAGCGGAAATATTTTTTTTTATTTGTTTGCATTGTATAGACTCCAAAACTACTGAAACGATTTTAACGACTGTTTCATCGACGGAAACCTACATCATACGCGAGTAACATAGGCTACAATTTTAGCGTGTGAAGTTGTGAGAAAACTCAATAGTAAGTTCAATATAAATTTCGTTTTAAATTATGTATCATATGATCAAATAACAACCAGACCGGAGGGAATATATTATAGAAGAATCCATTTTCTATATTGATCCGAACAAGAATTGAAACCGTGACCTCAGAGATTGCGACACCTTGAAACCGTTATGCGACGAAGTTCATCAAACTATTGGTACTGATGAATAAGAGGGTTCACCTACCTTGGAAGTATGACATCATACCATTTCTTTCAAAAGAAAGACTAATAACAATATTTCCTCTAGGGTCGGTCTCAGGTTGACTTAATATTTTCAAACATTTACTATTAAGTAGGTAAATAAAAATTAAGTGGCTTCGGGGAAAAATAGGTCCTGCGAAAATTCTAGTTAATTCCTCTATGCACAGGGTTGAACATATAAAGTAATGATGAATATATATTCATTTTATTTTAGCAATTTTGAATTCCTTATCTAGTTCACTATAATTCCGTTGCGTCAAGAAACTAAAACAATTGAGTATCAAAGTCCCAAAGCGAAAAAGTTTCACAATCTGCAATTGTATTCCGACTGTCTTTGATAAAAGTTCCGCTGTTATAAATAACTAGGATTATCGCTAAATGAATTCATTTTGATTGTTGGCATGGGCACCTCCTCGCAATCTTTTGATAATAACCTCTTTGTGAAGGACCTCTTTGTGTTTTTGTAATTAATAATGGCTGGAATATACTTTGAAATCGCGTAGCGATGCCGATAAAGTGAAAAAATATAATAAAAATAATTTACGACATCACATATGTCGCTCAAATAACAAGTCCATTAGTTGTATCCGCGTTTTTAAAGTGTGTTTTAGTCCATAACGATAAATTCGCTCCGTTGCCAGGTGTTTTCTTATCAAAAAATCTTTTTCCAATTTAGTATTAAGTAAACAAGACAGTTTTTTTTTATAATAGCTACTTGTTTTTCGATAAATAAATAATTTTATTAATTTTATTTGGGCAACTGAAACGATTCGACCTTCTATTTACAATTATTTGTGAAATGCTTATTATATGTTGTAAATTTTTACTTTTTATTAGTCTGTATAATAATATATTCGCTAAGGTCATTGATGTCATTGGCTTTAAATGATATTGAACCAAGAGAGCCGAGTTCAAATATTACTTGCGAACATTTGTATAAGATTTGAACTTAATCGACATTCAATTATTCGTAACAATGTTTCTTAGCATCCTACGTCAATATATTATAGCTTGAGTTAGTATGTTATCACAATACAGGCTATGATTTATTCAATATTTGCTTCAATATTTGGCATCTCGTTGCACTAATTTATATTGTCTCGAGTCTATGTTCTGGTATTACACATTACAGCTGGTAATGGTGTTAATTTTTCCATGACGCAACATTTTGAAGGCGTAGAACACATTGAAGTGACTAATGGCAAAAAAAGAGGCAGTGGCCAGGACTGGCTCCTTTGTTCTAATTAAACAATGAAGTTGATTGTGTAATAATATGAGTTGATTTCGTTTTACAGGTATTACTGCTAGAAGCAGGTCCAGAGGAACCAGACGTCACTAGCGTGCCAGCCTTCGCCCCAGTTTTAGGAAACTCAAATATCGATTGGAGATATAGAACACAGCCCGAAGAGTTGACTTGCAGAGCACATAGAGGGCAAACTTGTCCATGGTTTAGGTAACTAACAAAATTTTGTAACCAATAGACGAAATCGTCAATGTACGTGCGAGTGTAGGGATTTCATTATTAGTCCAAGAGAACAATTTAATGACTATTGTCGTTTAAAACAATATTGAAATAATCTCTGAACGTTGAATTTGTTCTATCAGATCTTTACGATTCATGACCGTTAAGTGAAATGTTAGTATAAATTATTATATTTGATCAATTTTGCATGTACAATGCTATACTGTAAAATGCTTAAAAAATCTTTGTCCCTGGCACTCTGAGTTGGGACTCAAGTCATGACCTTTCGCGATCTGGGCGACAGCTCTAACCACTGAGCTACCTAGGATCTTACAGTACTGACGAATTTTTCAAGCACATGTTACTTTTTCGCTACTACAAAGCGTATTTTCGGCAATTTTCAGGCAATCCACTCAATTTATTATTATTATTTGTTGTTATAAGGGGCTATGCAGTTCCCTGAGGAACTGTAGTCACTGTGACCTTAAAGATCTATTGTGACTCGCCACCAGAGCTATAGTAACTTCTTTAGCCCGGTAGACTTCAAAAAGTCTATAATATTCTTGGTTTTTATATCTTCCAGACTCTGGATTATATGTAGTCCCAGATGTATACTTCGTTTGTGGATCAGTGGTCCACATTCACATAGGAGATATTTTGTTGTTTCACGTTCCTGTTTGCAATATCTGCGAATGTCAGTGTTACTTAGTTTCATGTTAAATAGATGTCTGTTTGATTTGCAGTGTCCTGATAAGGTTCGTAAATTGTACCAATTTTTTCTCATCCTGACCTTCAATTAGGGATTTAGCGTGATTTAATCCCGGTTGTTTTTGCCAGTATTTTTTGAATCCCTTTGCGGGCATTCTTTAGAATTCGAATTTGAAATCCACCCAAACAGCCGAAATAAATTTAAACTTTTCATGTTTCTCGAAATTTTGGATTACAATAACTGCAAACAAATTTTTGTCATTTTCTTAAAATTTATGACTGAATCATACATAAGCAATTTTTTTATCACCTTATTCAACAATAAATCACGAAGGTATACTAGGAATAATTCATATATAACAATTAATATAAATAATTATGTACGGTACAAACAACAATTCATACCATACAAAACATAAAATTCATTACTAAAACAAAATTAATTAAAAATATTTAACAAGTCCATATTTACGAGTATCAATATTGGGCATACTCTGGATCTACCCACCCAATATTGAAGCATATCAACCGGCTAAAAAATTTGCGGCGCGCGGGTGGAATCGCCTAAGAAAGGGATAGCGAGCCGTGGTGAGACGCAGTACCAACAGTTTGGCAAAGAAATCTTGTTTAAATCTATTTTTTACGTTTTTGGGCTTATACTATCTTTTTACTATAGATCTAATTAATTTATAAGGCGAAGAATTAAACATGACCTGGTACGCAGCTCGTTACTGTTATCTAATTTAGGTACTTGTCTAAAATACAATTAGGTGATGGATTGTCTTTATTTTTAGTTATATTTGTGTAAAGAATTATTTTTGTCTCATTCTCGGTACAATCAACAAAAAAATCACAAGGATATTTTTCTTTTCTGCTGTTATTTATAAAATCGTGGCATGTCGTGATCCATCCAAGTGCTTGCAAACAAGTCGTTATATGAAAAACAGCGATGAAATATAACGATTTTTTTTTTACAGTTGGAGAAGTTTATTTTATTTCAAATTTAAAATCTTTTAAAATTTGAAATAAAATAATTTGTATGAAAAAATATTAAATATCATATAGTTTACAATAATTATATACGATTTTCTGTAAACCTTTACACAATATAAGGTAAAGTTGCTTCCCATTGCTTGTACGTTAAGATCTTTTAAACTGCGCAACCGATGTTAATGCGATTTTAAATGATATACAGAGTGATTCTAGAGGAAAGTTTATATGTATATGTTTCATGTAAAGGAATGATCATCACACTATATGGCTCATTTTAATGTAATATTTTCAGGTCAAGATTGTTGGAGGTTTGTAATAAAACCTTTATGATATTAGAAAAATAAATACAGTAGGTATTTTGTATTCAACAGAAATATGTCAAAATCAATTTCACCATCTAGTGTCATTTATTTGAGTTGTTTGTTTTTAATACTTCCTTAATACTTTGCACACTCTGGCTATTAACCAATGTGGCAATTCACTTTCTTAATAAAAGTACGTACCTAAGATGTATCACTGTTGGGCTTCTTTAACACAAAGACTCTGACACTTGCCACTACATAACTTAACTAAAGTATTTAAATAATACATGCGGTTTAAATACAATAGCTTTATATGTAACCATATTCATATATAGAAATTATGCGTTACGATGGTTAATTGAGTAATATTTATTTATTCAAATAGAAACATGCAAATTGAATTCAGCAATGATTCAAGCAGTAAATTAATATTCAAACAAAATATTTCAGATGCAGTTGTTTTAATTATTTATTATCATAAATTACATTTAATTAAAATGTATTAATTAACATTGCAGCGGTCGTGTTATGGGTGGTTCCAGTTCTATAAATTATTTAGTTTATATGAGAGGTAATAAACGTGATTATGATGATTGGGCTGCACTTGGTAATTATGGATGGAGCTACGATGATGTAAATATTACTCGAAAATTAGATTTTTTTGTTTACATCTTGCACTACTAACAATTTATAAATTATAGGTACTGCCATATTTCAAAAAATCGGAAAACAATCAAGATATTGAAGCAAAGGATGAAATATATCATGGTGTTGATGGCCCTCTGACAGTAGAACGGTTTACGTATTTGGATAAAAATGTTGCAATGATAGTGAAAGCTTTCCATGAAACTGGATTACCCTTAGTAGATTTTAATGGTGAACAACAAATAGGAACTATGACTACACAGGCAACTTCTAAAGATGGAAAACGAATGTCTAGTAATTCAGCCTTTATAAGACCTGTAAGACACAAAAGATCGAATTTGTTTGTAAGATCAAATGCACAAGTGACAAAAATTTTAATACATCGCCACAAAAAGATAGCATATGGAGTGAAGTATATGAGGAATGGGGTTTGGCATGAGGTACGTGCTTTAAAAGAAGTAGTGTTAAGCGCTGGAGCTCTTAATTCTCCTAGGATACTAATGTTATCTGGAATCGGACCAGAGAAAACCCTCAAGGAACTAAATATACCAGTGTTGAAAAATCTTAAAGTTGGATATAATTTACAAGATCATGCTACTATGGAAGCTATGCTTATGGGTTTAACAAACAAAACGTCAACGTCAATTAGCAGTGATGAATTAATAAATGGAGTAAAAAAATATCATTCATCAAAACACAATGATGGACCACTATCTGCAACAGGGCCTTTATATGTGACAGCATTTGTAAGAACGCCTTTTGCGGATGAAGACGAAACAGTGCCCGATATACAATATCATTTTGATGGTAGAAATTTAAGAGAGTTTTACTCGGATCCTACAACTTATCTAGCGACTCGTACTTTACCTCTTGCTTATTATGACAGTATCAACGTAAGGCCAATTTTATTGTCACCAAAAAGTCGAGGATACTTAACTCTCAATAAGACTGATCCTGTTTTTGGTCAACCATTGATATATCCAAGATTTTTTACGGACAAACGAGATGTGGACACTTTAGTGGCCGCATTGGAAATGATACAAGTACTAGAGAAGACTAAAGCTTTTAGGGAAAATGGCGTAGAATTTATTAGAGTTCCAGTCGAAGCTTGTGTAAATTATGAATGGGGTACATATGATTATTTCTTTTGTTTACTTAGAAGTTATACTGCGACAATATTTCATCCCGCAGGAACTTGTCGAATGGGACCACCGTCTGATAAAGAGGCTGTTGTGAATCCTCGTTTGAAGGTTTACGGAATACGACATTTGAGAGTTGCAGATCTTTCTATTGTGCCAAATATTATCCGTGGAAATACCAACGCTCCAGCTATAATGATAGGTGAAAAAGTATCTGACATGATAAAAGAAGATTGGAATCACTATTTTTAAATAAACTAACTGGTCATTTTTATATTAAGCCTTAATTTAATAAATTATTTATAAAAAGAAATGTTTGTATTTTTTTTTATTATAACTAATATTATAACTGAAACTCAAATAATGAACGATCTTCGCAACTGGTGAGTCAAATAAGAGTTAATTAGTAGAAAACACATATTACAAATTAGAACACCAATAACACCATTGTTATAAATGTGTAATTTTATGACCTTATGATAGTAGTACACTTTGCACATTTTTTTCCAAAAGCGCGTAGAGCGCTCCGTAGTCAATTTTGGTATTGGTTTCAGTATTATTTAATATTTATTGTTTATGATTTATTTAGAAAGTAGTCTGTGTTTATCTTTAGATTTAATGTTTAGTTATATAGTTTGAATTCATAGTTCTTTTGTGGGGGTATTAATTATTTGTTAGACACAAATTTTCTATTGATATCCGTGCATCAATTTTAAATAATGATAAGCGAGAAAAAATTGTGAACTAAGCAACTGCTTCAATAATTAATATTATAAATATTTGTTTATACTGATATGTTGTATTATTTTAATAGACTTTAAAAATCAATGGGAAATTTTGTGATAATGATCCAAAGAAATGGAAAGACCAATAATTCTGTTTCGTTGAATCTATAATGTCTCGATGTTAACCTACTGATTAACTGACTGTAATGATTTCAGAGGAAGAACGATGGGTGGATCTAGTGCAATCAACTATATGGTATACATAAGGGGAAACAAGAGAGATTTTGATAGTTGGGCGGAATCCGGTAACCATGGCTGGAGTTATATGGAGGTAACCGTATCATTAATATATCAGCTCGTGAAATTATGTAATATTTATGTGTTCTTTAAATTTACCATTTGTAAGCGGAAAAAAATATTTAAAGAGTTATGTTCAAATTGTTTATAAATTTTTTTACTGATATATTATTGAGCATATTTAAATTCTGGAATTACGTACCCATATGAGAGCATAAAATATTACCATATCTTAAATAATCTAGTTTTAGTAAATAACATACTACATAAAATTTGTTACCTAATTTTAAGTAGAAACCTTAACGATTTTATTAAAGTAAGTAAAGAACATTTTAAGAATATTCTAAAATTTAATACATTTTCACAGGTGCTGCCTTATTTCAAGAAATCTGAAAACAACAGAGATATGGAGGTGCATAATAGCTTTTATCATGGAGTTGGTGGACCTCTAAATGTTGAAAGGTTTCAACACATGGATCCTAATACACTCATGCTCATTCAAGCTTTTAAAGAAAGAGGTTTGCCAGTAACTGACTTAAATGGTGAAAATCAAATTGGTGTCGATCTCACACAATCTACTAGTAGAGATGGTCAGAGACTATCAACAAATGCCGCATATATAAGACCTTTAAAAGGACATAGACCAAACCTTCGGGTTGTAACAAATGCTTTTGTCACTAAAATTTTAGTAGACAGTCTTACTAAAACAGCTTACGGTGTAGAATATGTCAATAATGGTATTAGGTATGTAGCTCAAGCAAATAAGGAAGTAATATTAAGTGCTGGAGCATTAAATTCTCCTAAAGTATTAATGTTATCTGGAATAGGTCCAGCACATCATTTAGAAAGCTTGAATATACCTGTGTTAGTTGATTTAAAAGTAGGAGCCAACTTACAAGACCACGTCACGACTGATGCTCTTATTTTAGGTCTGTCTAATAAAACGTCTACATTGATTGATTCTCGGCAATTATTTGATGAGGTGAACAATTACTATGGACAGCCTCGTTACAAAAGTGGTCCATTGGCGTCCACATCTACTCTAAGAGCCGTTGCATTTATAAAAACAGAATTTGTTACCGAAAATGCTCCAGATATTCAATTTCATTTCGATGGTAGAAATGTTAGAGATTTTTATTCAGATCCAACTACATATTTGGCTACAAATATATTTCCTTTATCATTTTACGATGGCGTTGCTGCTAGGCCTCTATTATTGACTCCAAAAAGTCGTGGATTCATATTACTTAATCAGACTGACCCTATTTTTGGTCCACCGTTAATATATTCAAGGTTTTTTACTGATAAACAAGATTTGGATACGTTAATATCCGGTATGCAATTTGCTATTAGTTTAGAACACACTGAAGCGTTTGTTGCTAGTGGCGCCAGCTATGTAAAAGCACCTCTTCCCCACTGTTCGGGTTTCTTATGGGGATCTTATGAATATCTCAATTGTTTACTTACGCAGTATACATCTACAATTTATCATCCAGTAGGAACTTGTAAAATGGGTCCTAATTGGGATAAGGATGCCGTTGTTGATCCAAGATTAAGAGTATATGGTATCAAACATTTAAGAGTTGTCGACGCATCTATTATGCCTACTATAACGAGAGGTAACACAAACGCACCTACAATAATGATAGCGGAGAAAGCCTCCGACATGATAAAAGAAGATTGGATTTCACTAACTTTTTTATAGTTTCTAATTAACGATGATTTAGTTAATAATTTTTTTATGTAGATTAGTGTTATTGTAAAAGTTTTAAATATGTAAGTTCATTGATAAATATGGGTTATCTGATTGTAAAAATATTTAAGTATACAAACGAAATGTAATCTAAGCTGTAAATAAAATGTAAATTATTATCACAATATCAGATAAAATCATAAGCCGAAATTAAAAGGGATTAAATAAAGACTTACCTTTTCATCGAGTTTTTATTTAATTTTATTGACCTTTCAGGCTAAGGTGTTGATAATTAGGTATCTTTTTAATTAAAAGTATATCAACCTTCAAAACAATACTATTGGACACATTCACAGTAAATAGTTTTTTAATATTTTGTCGAAACGTTTACATTTACTAAATTCGATTATTTAAAAAATTAATTAATAAATAAACAAAAAATTATTTATTTACCCCTGGCCTCCGTAATCTACCTCCAGTTTCAAATTTGGAAGACTTGTCTGAGAAGAATTGAGAAACAAACTCTGACAAAAAAGTGAATTGCTCCATTTTATTTAATATTTAAAGGATTGACAATAATATCTTTTGGTTTTGCAATGTGTAATCTGGATTGAGATTTATTTGACTAATTACTGGATCCCAACACTTTAGTATATGCCAACCTTCAACTCTATTAATACAATAAATAATAGAGATGAAAGTTGCATTTTGCATCTATTAAAAATTCAAAAAGAGGATTACATAAAATAAATAATAATCGATCCAATAGTTTTGGAGCTTAACCAATGCAAACAAACAAGTAATCAAGTCCTTCCTCTTTATAATATGGGTACAGATTATTGAAAAGAATTATGTCGAGTAAATAAACAGTCTCCTTTCCTAAGACTTTCAATATATTTAATATTTCTATATTGATATTAAATATTTATAGTATTAAGCGTGTGTGTTATAGTATGATATAAAAATATTAATGTCACTAAAAAGCGCGAAAAGAAACTTTTTTAAATAGAAATGACTTCGAGTTTTAAAAAAGTAATAAACAATACTTATCACAAAAGCGATTCTTTCAAAAAACTGCTATTGAAAGCATTCGGGTACATCAATAATAACCCACAGAAAACGGTCGCCTAAATTAAAATATAGTTAAATATTGTCTATAACATAAACAGAATTATTTCCTTATAATCATAAAACATTGCTTAAGAATTTACACTTAAATTTTACTGCAGATGTAGGCTGAAGCAAGAAAGTTAGCAACAAAGACCAACAGAATAATATCTCGAGCTGAGTCATCTACAGCGAAGATGCTATCGTTGGGCCATACCATGTGAGATAAATCAGCACTCTAAAAACAACAATACTAAATATTTTACTTTATTTGTGAACTGCATAGCCACGTTACCTTTTTAATAATATATTTATGAAGACGATATGGAAACCCTATCTCTGTATGAGGCAATGGATACAAAATCTAAAACTCGCAAAAAAAACTTGTTATTTTGGTAGGAATTACGTCTTACTTTCGTTTTGTTTCTAAATATGTTAAGTATTATTTTGTGAAATTATCGTTAAAAAAAGAGAAAGATCAAACTTTATGAATTAGATTAAAATTTGCTTTTTCATTCACGAACTTTTAATGAAGTTTTGTAGACGACTCGAATATATCTCGGACAATAAAGTACATGACACTTTTAATCTAGCTAAAAGGTTTTTCCCGATAGTTGTAAACTAAAACAATTCAAATTACAAACAGAACCTAGCAGTTATTAACAGCCACAAGAGTGAAAAAAGATCAAAGTTTCATAACATATCGAATATTTCTATTGAATTCTCAAAATCATGACTTGTATACTAATCGCTCGCTTTATAGTCTCCGATAAGACCCATCTGCCGCTCGCACACTGCCATTATATATCTCCATAAACTGTTGAGATGCAAACAATCTGTACCTAGTACCTCTGTCCTTACTTGAAAATCTTCACCAAACATAAAAGATCTACCACCCTTCCCTATTCTATATAAACTCAAACACCGACATTGGAATACCTTTCGTACACAACGGCTCTTAAATTGTTGGTCACGTTGTAAACTTTACTGCTATAGGCTTCAGGGTTCGTTAAAGACTAGGCTCAATAGATGTTTGAATTAGTGGCTCATGATGTTTAATACCCCACATAATTCTCTGATGCTCGTGTGCGTGGATTAAAAGATAAAAACTTTCCAAAACTTCAGCAAACGGATTTCCTTATTGGACTTTGGACACACAAAGTTGTCTTCGAAAAATTACTTTATGAATATCGTTGTAATATTCTTAGATTTGTTTTCCTGTGAAATTATTGAAATAATGTTTCTCATAATTAGAGTAACAGATTTTAATGTATAATATAACATGACTATGACCATGAAAGCTTAAAACAACATATTTCATACAATTAAGTCATAAGGTGGGTGACCCAAATAAGGCATAGGTCCTTATAAAGCCTATTTTTTTTAATTCTCGCATCGCGATTTACTAGCAGTTTCAAATAAGCTACTAATAGATGTGTTATCATGTCTTTTCGAAAAAACTTAAAGAAACGACGGAATTTTCTGCTTATTAAATTAATAACTATACTCTTCATTCATCGCTCTTTTCATAAATGGTCTTGATGAAGAAATTATGAAATAAATAATTACTAGGCTGGTGTATTTGATTTAGAGTGCATCACATGTCATTATACGCCATTGTCATACCAAATTGTGTACACGGGTAAGGGCATGAGGATATAAAAGAAATGAAGACGGAAGATCCGAAAGGAAAAAAATTGCTCTAATTTCCTAAGTCTACTTCTTTAAAATACACGTGCAAGAGTTAGCTAAATCAAAATTATTATAAAATAATTGTGCCAATAAACTTGACGGTTATTATTTATTAAAAAAAATAGACATCTATTTTTGAGTAACCCACGACGTAATGAACTTCAAATGTATATATTTTGTCCTGCACTATTTTGTCTTCCGAAAACCTCAGCATTCATAAGTTTTTTTAGTGGTAGTCAATTTTTATGGCTGCTGTTGCTGAAGACAACCTTTTTTATAGATTTTCTATTTATACTTTTTATATTTTTTGTTTGTATTGTCTAATTGATCGTTTGAAGTAGTTGTTCTTTCATTTAAGCAGCATAAGTGTTTTTAATATATTGAGTTTCTTCACCCTTACTTGTCTTTATTTACGCCTATATTTACAGTGTTGAGCTGATAATACTAATTCCTGATAAAATACGATAAATTGTTCATGATAATCTTAGTTTTATCTGCTTCTGCGTAATTTCGCTTATGTTTATATTTCTACACTTTTAATGAAGCGGCTCAAATATTTGACTATTCCATAAGCTGAACATTGCTTATATATTTTTTTATATTGATATAAAAAACAGCCATCCTAAGGACCATACTGGAAAAAGTTAGGACATTCTTGTCTTATATAAAGAATGATTAGCATACTTCATTTACATAGTTTAATCTCCTTGGGCTGGATTGATCACAAGAGTGAACCCAGTTCTAAATAATAACACAACTTAAAAGTGAAAATATGTATTCCTATTCTAAATTAATTCAAACCCAATAAAAATAAATATGATATCTAAATGTCTGAATCATTCTTATTATTTCTCATTTAAAAGACATAGAAAATTTTAACGGTATTGTGAGAATTGTACTCTATAGAGGTGAGAATGTTTCTTTGTAAGATGGCTAGGTAAACCAAACCGACGTATAACGCTTCTACTCTCGGCTCAGACCGGACCATGTGACGGTGCAACAACATAAATCAGCTCATAGAAGTAGTGGAAAGTTAGAAAATATTACCTGGAAGTGATTTTTATTGCATTTATAATTAATATGAAGAACGGTTACTTTTCCATATATAAGATATATCAGGGCGGTAGACAATAAAAGAATCTAATGGAAGCCAACAATTTATTTTAAATACACACTTTAACACTAGTCACTGTATCACTGTATTCTTTCACTGCTCGTACAATACTAAACCTCCTTAGAAATTACACCGTCTTTTATACCAACAAGCTTTATAATCAAAAATGACGGTAATTATTCAAATCATATTGCTATCCAATGACAAATCGGATATAAAATCGATTTACCCTCATTTTATGATGTATAAACAATTTTTCTATTTACAACATATTGTAAATCATTTCAAAAGATATATTAATTATCAATCCTATAATTAGTATCGGTTTCAGTCTTTTATACCCAATTAATTATTTAAAACACTATAAGCTACTTCTTGTTCTATAGAGACGTATAATAGTACTTATAATAAAGGAACTGTTCTACTCATTATTATTAAATCTAACATTCGGCCTTTCCTGACACTAAGCTTGTCCTCAAGCTTCAAAATTAAAAAAAAACTTATTTTATTATGAGTCATAACAAATTACCGAATGCCTGTATTAACGGAACCAGATATCACTGGTTCTGTCAACGGTAAATATTTGGTTCCATAAACTGACATGAAGTTAAACACTGTGGGATCTATCAACAACAAGTGTTTCGCTTCCATTTAAATAATAACATCAATATAATATCGTTGGATCTATCAACAACAGATATTCCACTTATTATTTTGATCACAATGGCTATAGTAAAAACATCACTGGTTCTATCAACAGTTAATGTTTCACTGTCCATCTCTTTTGATAAAACATCACTGGATCTATCAACAGTAAATGTTTCACAGTCCACCTCTTGATTAAATATCACTGGATCTATCAACAGTAGATATTATTACCTTCTATTAATTTACATAATATATCACTGGATCTATCAACAGTAGATATATTGCCCGCTATTTAAAACTGTTACAATATAATTTATTATTATTTCCATTAACAATAGTTATGTTAGCGCCAATTTGAATTACCTGTTTCTATATATCACAACATCTTTATCTAATAATTTTAATATCACTTAAAATATAATAATCAATTATTCAACAACATGAATTCATG